CTAGAAGGTGGGGTTGGAAGGTCACAGAGAAGGCAATGTCAGGACCTGGAGTCAGGCCTCTTTGTGCCTTATGTCCCAGATCCCTAGGACATTTGCTCCTCCCCTGCCCGCAGGCACCTGTGGAACCCCAGCTGGTAAGTGACAGCATCAGCTACTGCTTGGGTATCAGCGGCTGAGCCTGAGCGGCAGCAGAAGATCCGGTCATGGATAGGCGTCAGCTTGTCAGTCACCCGATTGGCAATGTAGGACCTGCAGGATGGCACAACAGTGAGTAGGACCCCACTTGCCCCCCCCCCACAAAGCTCGACTCCCTCCAGCTTCAGGGAGAAACACTGGTACTACCCATCAGTTCTTCTGAGAGTGAAGCAGGATCAACAGAGAACAGACCAAAGGGGAGGGGAACTGGGAGCAGTAACCTTGGAAAGGAATCCTTATTTTCCCACAGTGGTCTGAGGACGGAAGGATGGACTGGTGGACAGAATGGGGTGTGTGTATGGGGTGGGGGCCCAGGAAGACCTTTCTCTGTTTTGAGCTCACCCAGTGGTTGTTCTCGAGTCTGCTCCTAGAACCACGCCTCCATTAAACTGCACAGCCATGATCGTGGTCTGGGAAAAAGAAGAGCGTGAAAAGGGTGAAGCCGAGCCTCACCACCTACTCGAGCACACATCAACCTCAGTGGCTCTCCACCCGGATTCTGTAACACAAAATGCGTGCCCCGCGGACCCGTTGCCAAATCTCAACGCTCCAAAGAATACAAGAATTCCAATCTCCAAACTCCAGGGTTCAGAATCTCAGGCTCAGTGCACTGTGCTCCTCCCACCACGAAAGGTACCACGGGTCCCCAGCATCCACAGAGCCCTCCTCCCTCTCCCGAAACAACACTGCACCTCTCCCCCAGCACACTAAGCCCAAACCCACTCGGGCTTCGTGCTTTCCCTCGCGTCAGGCCTACTACATGTCTTCTGAACTCCGACTCTTTCCTCACCCCTGTGGAGACTTCCCGGTTTTCCCAGTCTGGGGCGAGAGCCTCCGGCCCAAAGGCCGGTGCAGAAGCACCTCCACGGACAGCTAAGGCGGCCGCCATCTTCCTCTTCTACTGCTGCCACAAAGCAACTGTCGTAAAGCGCTCCGTCACTCTCTGTAGCACCCTCTGTGGCCTTCCGGGAGGGAAACTGGCTGGGGTTGACGGCAGAAGGGAAAACAAAGCGTTCGTTTGCGACGGTGAACACTTGACGGCAGTGTGTCAAGTTACAAAAAAAAAAAAAAAAAAAAGGAGGTGGGTCCTGGGAGGGAAGGCGAGGGCGGAGCCTCTTCTCTTACAGACAGCCCAACCAGAGGCCCGCTGGCGCCCTGAGGCTAAAGATAGTGGTAACTGCGGTCCAACTTACTTTATGAGATTGGTGTGTGATTTTTTTTTTTTTAAATTTGGTAACTCGATTGTGTAGTCTCGAGTATGAAGGTTTTGTAGATGACAACGTTATGTCCTGGTTCAAAGGGCACGCACGATGGAGTATAAATTATTGGAATGGTCAGGGCATGTTTTCGTTCTTCTTGGGTACAAATTTAGCAATGCATACTTGGAGTTTATTTTCTGGGTCTTTTGAAGAAGCTATAATTGCTTTCTGAACCACTTGATAGCCCACCTGTCATATCTGAGGGTTTCCATCTTCATGCATTATCTCTCTCTCTCACACACATATAATATATTGTTATTATTTTTTTAAATCATGGTTATTCTAGTGCATGTGGATGCAATCTTGTGATTTTGATTTGTTTTTCCTGAGTAAATATTAATCATATTTCCATGGCTAGTGAGCCATTTGAATATCTTCCTGGGGAAATGTCCATTCAAGGTTTTTGTCCATTTAAAAAAAAGGGGGGTTACTTAGGGGCTGGAGAGATGGCTCAGTGGTTAAGAGCACTGACTGCTCTTCCTGAGTGACCCTGGTTCAATTCCCAGTACCTACAAGGCAGCTCACTACTGTCTGTAACCCTAGTTCCAGGGGACCTGACACCCATGGCAAAACACCAGCACACCATAAAATAAAAATTACTAAATTTTAAAAGGGGGGTTAGCCAGACGGTGGTGGTGAATGCCTTTAATCCCAGCACTCGGGAGGCAGAGGCAAGTGGATCTCTGTGAGTTCGAGACCAGCTGGGTCCACAAGAGCTAGTTCCAGGATAGCCTTCAAAGCTACAGAGAAACCCTGTCTTGAAAAACCCCCCAAAAAATAAAAAAATAAGAAAGGTGAGATTATTTGATGTTTTTATTGCTGTGTTGTGAGTGGGTTTTTTTGTTTGTCTGTTTTGGTTTGTTTTTTGTTTTTTTTTTTGAGACAAGGTTTCTCTGTGTAGCTGTAGCCATGGATGTCCTGGAACTCATTCTGTAGACCAGACTGGCCACAAACTCAGAGATCTGCCTGCCTCTGACTCCCAAGTGCTGGGATAAAAGGCATGAGTGTATTTACATTTATTTATTTATTTATTTTAGGTACTAGAAACATCAGATATATGATTCCTAGATATTTTTCTACCACTTGATTATAGCAAAAGTTTTAAATTTTGAGCAAGTAAAATAGCTCAACTAATAAAGTTTTCTCTTGCACATGGTAGAAGGAGAGAACAACTCCTGCAAGTTGTCTTCTGACCTCTACAAATTACTGTGACTCAAATGCACTATCTTCTCCCCCAACAAATAACTAAATGTTAAAAAAAAAATTAAATTTTGGTGAAGCCAGCTGGACATGGTTCCAGGACAGCCAGAACTATTACACAGAGAAACTCTATCTCAAAAATAAATAAATACAAAAAAATTGGTGAAGTCAAATATATTCATTTTTTTCTTCAGTTTGTTGTGTTTCTGCAGCAATACCCAAAACTCTTTTGTCAATGCATTGTTTTCTGAGATTTGTGTTTAGTTTTTGCTTTTGTTGGTTTCAAATCCAGAACCTTGTTCATGCATTCTATGCAAGCACTCTCTCATTGACACCCCCAGGACTCTTACTTTTTTTATTTTGAGGAAGAAGCTCTCTAAATTGTCAAAGCTAGTTTTGAAGTTATTTGTAGCCCAGGCAGGCACTGTGTTTGCTAAACTACTGTATCAGCTTCCCAAGTAGCTGAGGTTACAAGTCCCTGATACCAGGCTTGGCTTTCCTGATTTTTTTTTTTTTTTATAGGATCTCATGTAGCCTCAAACTTGCTTTGTATCGGAGGTTGGCTTTGAACTCCTGATCTTCCTTCCTTTATATTCCTTTTGCTGGGATTATAGGTAGGTTGTCATGCCCACCCTGCTTTTTGTTTTTCTCCAGACAGGGTGTCATTATGTAGCCTTAGCTGTCCTGGAACTTGCTCTGTAGACCAGGTACTCCTTGAACTCACAGAGATCTGCCTGCCTCTTCCTCTCGAGGGCTGGGATTAAAAAGCCCTGTGCCACCATTGTCCGAAACCCACTCTGCTTTTATGTGGGTGATGAGGATCCAAACACTGGTTCTCACCTCAAGTACTTTACCGGCTGAGTCATCTCTCCAGCCCCCAATATCTACATTTTTAAAAGTCACCTTTTGTGCTTTAGTGACAGTACAATTGTAAGAAAGAAAAGACAGATAGTGTGACAATTAGTCTAGTTCAATAATGCAGGCAATACCTAAGGTTGATTTAGACAAAGAAATGTGGGGAAATGTGACAAATGGTCAGATTTTCACAGATTCAGTGTTGATGTGGTGAAAGCCAGTTTAACAAGATTTTGAGTCTGAGGACCTGGAAAAATAGAACTCCTTACTGAGGTCACAAGACTAGGAAGGGAATATTTTAGGAGGAGAAAGCATTAGAAACTCAGTCTGAACCTGTTAGGTGTGCTATGCCTAGTTGACATCCAAATAGAAACATCGAATAGCCAGCTGGATATACAGAATTCTAGAGTTCAGAAATAGATTTGAGGTACAATTTTGGAGAGTTAGTATACGAAAAGGTTAACTCTTTCACGTTCACTAGTATGAGAGCAACCAAGGAGACCTTTGATAAAACATTTTGTGGAGCCGAGTGCCTGTTTGGCGAGATCCGTGATGCACAGGCTTTAGGATGGAGACCGAGAACACAAAAGGAAGCGTACTTTTGGTGGAGGCAGGGTGGAGCTCAGGTAGGACACGCGTTTGCTGTGTGGAGCTCAGAGAACAGGTCTGGACTGGAGACCTGCTATAGGGCTGGCAACTGAAGCAGTGGGAGTGGCCCAAATGGGTTCTGGGGAATATGAGCCATTCGGTTACAGAGAACGGGGGTGACACATCTTCCCACATTTCCTCCCTTAAACTGGTTCTCCAGTCATCATACATAACGCCCTATGCGTCGACAGCTACTAAAGAATTCTTTATTCCCCATTCATTGCTTCTTCAAGTTTCGAGAGGCTGAAGATGAGAGGGTCTGACACCACGTACTCTGCCCTGCTAGGGGCTGGGCCTTAACTGTGGTGACATCACGAAGGAGGACGGCTCCCCAGGCCGCCGGCTCCTTGGTGACCCTGGGTGCGTAGATCCCTCCCCACAGCAATGCCTTCCTGGTTAGTTCCCAGACACCGCGGTCATAGAGCCAGCTGGAGCAGGCCGTGGCCGGCCAGCAGGGCTTGGGTACGGTTGTAGACGTCCTCCAGCACTCGGGCGGCCCGGGCCAGGGCCACCCGCGCGTCCGCCTCTCCGGTTCCGGGACACGCCAGCTGGAGCAAGCGGCCGCGACTAGGGAGGGCGAGGATGGCCAGGCGTGCGGCCTGACGGATGAGCCAGGGGTGGTGCTCGGCCAGGGCGGTGCTGTAGGCGTCTCCGCACTGCACGCCCGCGTCCGGACCTCCGAGCGTCCCTGTCGCCACCCTGTGGAGGCAGAGCTGGGACCAGCGCAGCGCGCGGTGCAGCAAAAGCAGCGTTCGAGAGCCCGAGGCCCTGGCTGGGTTCCGGGCCTCGGTCCCGGGCAGCTCCAGTAGTCCTGCTTGCCGCTCCCATGTCGCCATAGTCGCCAGCGACGTGTAGTGCGAAGCATCCGGGCCGTGCACGCGAGCCTCGAGGGCGGTCACCTTGATGAAGGCTTCGCTGGTGGCGAAGGCGAAGACAGAGCCAAGGGGGGTTAGAAACCTGTTTGGTGGTGGGAAGGGGGAGATGACTTGAGAAAGAGCAATGGCCCATATGAAAGACGATGGTCTTTTGGGAGGGAGATCACTCACCTGAGTAGTTCCCTCCATCCTGCCAGGTACTGAGACAACTCCACATCCCCTTCCGGGCTCATACAGGCCAAGAAGGGGCTCACCATGCAACCCAGCACCCCTTGAGGCCCCAGACAGGGAGGCTCTTCCTTCTCCGGCACCACCAGGGGTATCAACTCCGGAAGGATCTGGGAGGTAGATACAGGAGAGATAGGTGCATAACCAGCTAGGCCTACTTAACGACTGATGGGCTCTGAAAAAAATTGTCCCTCGAGTTTAGCTGGGGTTTCTCCTGCTTATTCTTAGCATCTGAAGGGAGAGGGGAACAGAGAGGGAGGAACCTCCTTTCATTAGCTTCTCAGTCTGGGTCCTCTGTTTCCTTGTTCAGAACCCTTAGTCTCTGACCTTAACTCAAACTTACCTGGGAAGGTAGTGGTCCCTCTGGATTGCAGGCCTGCACCCCGGGCCTGCACCCTGTCAGGACACCCGAAGTGAACCGAAGCAAGGCGGTGAGGACTGGGGAAGGAGAAGGGGGCTCGAGTTCCCAAAGGCCGGACTGCTGGGTTCTCCTAGCCGAGTGAGGCCACTCATGGAAGAGCCTCACACCGGTGTAAAGAAATAACAACGTGAAGATAGCTAAAGGAATCACATGGCACAACCAGCGTCCCAGGGCTGGGGATGTCAGTGAGACCCCCATGACCATCGCTGGCACACCTCACCTAACTGGGTGGTGGCCTTTCTCTTCCCGTGGTGCTCTGAGGTGCAGATGGTTAATAATTAACCTATTAAGCCCCCTCCTTTGTGTCCTTTGCCCCAGAGGTCAGATCCTGGGGTGAGGGACCTAAAGATGATTTGGGGGATTTGGCATGTGACATGTCTCTTCATTGCCTTTACATGTGGGACTAAGCCTGTCATAAAAGGCAGCAGCCTCTTATGGGTCCTACTTTAACCCTGGGCATGAATCCATTATAAACTGAGGATAATGGGTCTTTGTAAATCTCATGTGAGGATCAAGTGAAAACATTGTAAGTGGAAAAGCTGATCACAGTTGCCCAGTAGATCTTGCTTGCTGGGGTCAGATGGTGGGGCTTTAGGCTCTCTTATTTTACATTCTTATGATTTAGTTTTTTAAGCTCCACATTAGTTTTTTCTTCATTAAATCAATCTTTACTTCGCCGTGGCAGGCCCTATATTAAATTCCTCAGAATACCTAAGTGTTTTCACAGTTGGGCGCGGCAGCCCAGGCCTTTATGTAACCTTAGGTATTTGTGGGGGTGAAGGAGAGTATCAAAAATTCAAGGCCAGCCTGCATAAATTACCTAGACTCTGTCTTTAAAAAAGGCCATCCTTATTCCAATAGCAATATATGCTCAGAATGGCCCAGAATTTGACATACCATTACAGGTTCCCCTAAAATACAGAGTAACAAGAATGGCTATCTGGAATCCATGGAAACAGAATCGTTAATCTTTATTTCAAGAAGCTTGGGGAAGCACCAAGATCCACATGTGGTGTGTGTCCAGGCAGACTTTGAGGATTTTGTACTGTGAGTCCTAAAGTTCTCATAACATTGCCTAAAACAACAAAAATGCTAGCAGGGCAGACAGTGATTCCATTTGTAATAAATGTGTTCATGGGAGGATCTAGTGTTATGTTCTTTATTGAGGAGCAGAAAACCATTGTGAAAGTGTTGAAGGCACAAGTACAGAGTCGGAAAGCTAAACAAATAGTAAGAGTTTTATATTTATTTATTTTTTGAGAGTTTCTCTATGTAGCTTTGGCTGTCCTGGAACTCACTCTGTAGACCAAACTCACAGAGATCTTCCTGTCTCTGCTTCCCAAGCACTGGGATTAAAGGCATGTGCCACCACTGCCCAGCTAATATTACACTTTCTTTTTGTTTGTTTTTGTTTTTTTTTCCAGACAGGGTTTCTCTGTATTGCTGTGGAGGTTGTCCTGGAACTCACTCTGTAGACCAGGCTGGCCTTGAACTCACAAAGATCCACCTGCCTCTGCCTCCTGAGTGCTGGGACTAAAAGCATGCACCACCAATGCCTGGCCTAATATTACACTTTTTAAAACAATAAAAATCAAGCCTTGTGGGGCTGGAGAGATGGCTCAGAGGTTAAGAGCACCGACTGCTCTTCCAGAGGTCCTGAGTTCAATTCCCAGCAACCACATTGTGGCTCACAACCATCCCTTATAAGATCTGGTGCCCTCTTCTGGTGTGCAGATATACATGGAAGCAGAATGTTGTATACATAATAAATAAATCTTTAAAAAAAATCAAGCCTTGTTCTGTGAAAAACATTAAAAATGGTTTAAAAATTTTAAGTATAAAAAGGGTTAGGGAAGCCGGTCGTTGGTGGCTCACGCCTTTAATCCCAGCACTTGGGAGGCAGAGGCAGGTGTATCTCTGTGAGTTCGAAGCCAACCTGGTCTACAGAGTGAGTTCCAGGACAACCTCCAAAGCAATACAGAGAAACCCTGTCTCGAAAAACAAAACAAAACAAAAAAAGGTTTAGGGGTATAGTTCAGTGGTAGAGTGTCTTTCTAGTATGTGCAAGACTCTAGGTTCAAAACCCAATACACACACTCTCTTGATCTCTCTCTCTCTCTGGTGTGTGTGTGTGTGTAAACACAGCTCAAGCTTTACTGGGGAGAATCTTCTGTCTTCCCCACTGGAATGTGAACCTTGATGAAGACAGGTGCCTTTTCTCTCTCTGTGTATTTTGAAGACTGAACCCATGACTTTGAGTATTCCAGGGAAGCATTCTAGCATTGAGCTGTAGCATCTTCAAATCCCACTTTGTTCCCTCTTCCTTTTTGAGTTTGAGACAAGGTCTAAACTGTCCAAGGTGATTCATTTTATTTATTTATTTACTTATTTGAGACAGGGTCTCTGCACATAGTCTTTATTTATTTGAGACAGTGTCTCTGCATATCCCTGACTGTTCTAGAACTCACTATATAGATCAGGCTGTCCTCAAACTCACAGAAATCTGCCTGTCTGTTTCCTGAGTGCTGGGATTAAATGTGTGCATCACCATGCCCCACATCTCAGGTTGATTTTGAACTTTCTTTTTTCTTTTTTTCTTTTCTTTTATTTTTTTTATTTTTTTTTTTATTTTTGGAGACAGGGTTTCTCTCTGGCTTTCGAGGCTGTCCTAGAACTAGCTCTTGTAGAGCAGGCTGGTCTCAAACTCACAGAGATCTGCCTGCTTTTGCCTGCCGAGTGCTGGTATTAAAGCATGCACCACCACTGCCCAGCTGATTTTGAACTTTCTTTTTTTTTTCAGATTTTTTTATTTGAATTAGAAACAAGATTGTTTTACATGGCAATCCCAGTTCCCTTCTTCCCCCGCCCCCAACTAAAACCCTACTTATCACATATCTTTTCTGCTCCTCCTGGATGGTGAGGCCTTCCATAGGGTGTCATCAGAGTCTATTGTATCCTTTGGGATAGGGCCTAGGCCCACCCCTGTGTGTCTTGGCTCAGGGAGTATTCCTGTATGTGGAATGGACTCCCAAAGTCCACACCTATGCTAGGGATAAGTACTGAACTGCTACAGGAGGTCCTGTAGATTTCCGAGGTTTCCTCAATGAAATCCGAGTTCCTGGGGTCTGGATCAGTCCCATGCTGGTATCCCAGCTATCAGTCTGGGGAGCAAGAGTTCCTCCTATGTTCAGGTCCGTTGTTTCTGTGGGTTTCACCAGCCTGGTCTGGACCCCTTTGCTCTTCACTCGTCCTGATTTTGAACTTTCTATTCTTAGCTTTCTGAGTCACTTCTATCACACACAAGCTTGAGCCACTAGGCCTGCCCAGACACCTTACTTTTCTTGGTTATTTTAAGCATTTAGAACATTGCTTGCACCAAATGTATGATAAATAATTATTCGTTAAAGAAACAGAGGAATGTATATGAGGCCAGTAAGTCAGAGGTGGTCCCTTCCCCACTTCCCTACCCCCCCCCCCCAAATCTAGCAGGGTTTTGTTGTTGTTGTTGTTGTATTGTGAATTAGGGGTCCATCTACTGGTTATAGAAGGGAAGGCATTCCGGGAAAGGATCCAAAAATACAAGCAAGCCAGGGCAAAGGGGGTGTAATCCCAGAACTCAGGAGCCTGACAGAGAAGGATCAAGAGTTCCAGAACAGCCTGGGGTAAACAGTGAGCTCCAGGCCAGTCTTGGCTACATGGTAAACCCCGTCTTAAAGAATACAGAAACAGAGGAAGAGTAGCTTCATTTGTTTAGTTATATAAACTAATCTCTTAGTCCATAAACTCTTAGAATTATTACTGTCTCACTGGGTGTGGTGCCCCCTGCTGGTAATCTTAGCATTTAGGAGGCTGAAGCAGAAGGATTGTGGAAAATTCAAGGTCAGCCTGGGCTACTTGTGCTGGATGTTTTATGTCAACTTGAAGACAAGCTAACATCATCTGAGAGGAGGGAGCCTCGATTAAGAAAATGTCTCCAGTGTCCTCGAGTTCTGTCCCTTGCCTTCCTGAGGACCACCTTGGGGGAATGCTCCCCTGTACATTGCCCTGTTTATTAAATCTGGATTTACTTAAAAAAGAAAAAAAAAAAAAGGTCTCCAGCCGGGCAGTGGTGGCACACACCTTTAATCCCAGCACTTGGCAGGCAGAGGCATAAGGATCTCTGTGAGTTCGAGACCAGCTTTGTCTACAAGAGCTAGGTCCAGGAAAGCCTCCAAAGCCACAGAAAATCCCTGTCTTGAATCCCCCCCCCAAAAAAAAGCAGGCAGAGTAAGTCATGGGGAGCAAGCCAGTAAGCAGTACCCCTTCATGGCCTCTGTATCAGCTCCTGTCTCCAGGCTCCTTGCCTTACTTACTTGACTTCCTGTCTTGACTTCCACCAGTGGAAGCATAAGCCAACTTAATAAACCCCTTCCTCCCAAATTTGCTTTTTGGCCATGGTGTTTCATTACAGCAATAGAAACCCTAACCAAGACAGCTACCCACTGTATTTGAGAACAAGCTGGGCTACAGAGTGAGACCCTGTGTCTCTGGGTATGTCTGGTGTACAAGATTCTCAAAGGAACAGGGCCACAGAACTTAAAAAGAGCTTTTCCAGTCCCTACACTTCACAGGCTCTCAATCTATGTTGTCTCTATGCATTCTTACATCCTGTAAAGTTACCCCTCATCTCGAACTGTCCCTGCTTAATCCTGTCCCTGGCAGATAACCATTGGAAAACTACAGTCTCTAGCCTTGGCTTCCATTGCCAGTGCTGGGATTTTCCTCCGCTTACTGGAGGCAAGTCACTTGTCATTTCTGAGACCCAGCTCTCTCATTTACAAACTAGGAAATATTATTTCTATCTTCTACAATCATTGTGAGGATTACATGAAATATGACTGCAAAGTCCCAATCACAGCTAGTGGTCTATAGAAAGTATTGGGTAGATGCTAATTTCAACTCAATGGCTTTCACTACACCTCCTTCCCTAGCTCTTGGCAGCCTCTTTCCCCCAGAGTTGGGAATCAAATCTTTGGGTTCCTGGAGTGGATTAGTTTTGAATGTCACTTAATCCTGGTCATTCTTCCGCAATCTGAGCCCTGAAAGGCCAGGGCTGGTAGAGACCGGCAACCTGAATCCTGATAGGGATGGGGTTGATATAAATCCATGTAAGCAACCAGATGCATAGGTAATGCAGGGGATGGAGTTGCAGGCTGGAGCCAAATTGCTGCTGCTGCTGCTGCTGCTATGGGTGATATACTGTGGACATGCACAGATAATTAGGAAAATAGCTCGATATGCATCGATTGTTGAAGTGACCAACGGTGGGACCTGGGGTGACTGGGCCTGGCCTGAGATGTGTCCTGATGGATACTTTGCCAGTGGATTCTCCATCAAGGTGAAGCCTCAGATCCGGGTTTTAAAGGATAGAGATATGCCAGATTGCAGAGCTGAGATTGGCGATCCCCTCGCTGGAGCTCACTTCTCTTCTCCTCCTCACCTAGGTGGAGCCCCCTCAAGGCATTCCTGGAGATGACACAGCTCTGAACGGGATACGGCTTCACTGTACGCGAGGGAACGCAGAGCAAAACACCCATGTTGTGGAGTCCCAATCAGGAAGGTGGGAATTCGGGATCCCCCCCAAAAAATGGGATAGATGGGAAAGAGCATTTATCTAGTGTGTGTAAAGCTGGAAGGGCACTCTGCTAGTGCAAAGGGACGCCCCTTCCCCTCTGTTACACTCCCGAGGTAAAACTCAGTTACGGAGGAGTGGGATGAGAAGTCCACTCCTCTGCATTCAGGGAAACACAGGTGATTAGACCCTTATTGGTAGTACCTGGTTTGGAAGTCCCCAAGTGGGTAGGAGGTGCTCACAGAGCCAGCTATAACTCTCCTTCTCTTGCAGCTGGGGCTCGTGGAGCGAGCCTCTGTGGTGTCCTGGTTCGCACTACCTAATGGCTTTCTCCCTTCGGGTGGAGCCATTTTCATTTCCTGGGGACAATACTGCGGTGAACAACGTGCGCTTCCGTTGCTCAGACGGTGTGGAGCTGGAGGGGCCTGGGCTGAACTGGGGAGATTATGGAGACTGGAGCAACTCCTGTGCCAAAGGTGTCTGTGGCTTGCAGACCAAAATCCAGAAGCCTAGAGGGCTCCGTGATGACACTGCACTTAATGATGTCAGGGTATTCTGCTGTAACAGCTGACGCTATTGCCTCTGCCCACGCTCCCACTGGACCCTGCGTTCTGCTGTAACAGCTGATGCTGTTGCCACGCTCCCACTGGACCCTGCCAGCACTGTGCCTCTTACTATTAAAGCTTCTTGATCTCATTTAAAAATGAGAGAAGCTGCCTCCTTGCTTCTGTCTTGACCCTGCATAGGTCCAGGCCTGCGTTCAGGTTTGGCTTTAAGGGTAACTGTAGGTCACACAGTTCAGAACAAAGAAGTTAATCACATTAACTTTTAGGGCGTAGATGTTATGTTCCCTTTAAGAGCCCAAGCTGTTTCCTTCCGAGCCATCAGTGACTTCAGATTAAGGAATGGGATGGAAGTCCCCACCTCTGTACTCAGGGAAACTGGATGATGAGACCCAATCTATCCCTTATTGGTAGTGCCTGATTTAGAGGTCCCCAAGTTTGAGTTGGCCAGGTGGGGTGTACATTTGGTTTGAAAGTCTCCAGGTGGGTAGGAGGTGCCCATAGAGCCAGTGCAACTAATTAGATGACAATGCAAATGGTTTTATATGTTCATTTTCTAGAGCTCTGAGACTGAAGAATCTTTCCCCATAGTTTCTATGCCCCTCCCCACCTCACTCTCCACCTTGCAAATTCCAAACAGTGGCTTTTCTAAACAGAGATTGTCGTTGAAGACTTTGACTTCCCACACTGTTTTCTCTGTCTGGAATCTCCCAGGTACCCATATTAGATTTTCCTTATGTTAAGTACGCCCCCCCTCACTCAATGCTTATCTCATTACCAATATGTTTTTAAAGAATGTTTACTGAATAAAAAAGGAAGGACTGCTCTTAGGTATGGTAGAGGAGAAGGTTTATTGTAGATAAAAGGGAGAATATAGCCACAGACAGGGGCATCTGTCCAGAGTGAATATGACCCTGAGTTGGGCCATGAAATGATAGTGGAGAGGGGAGAAGAGAGAAGGAAGAGCCAGACCAAGAGGCCAGGAGGGTAAAGGGTAGAAAAAAACAGGACCAGGTAACCAAAAAATCTGGATTATATAGGGAAGGCAGCTGGGGAAAGGGCATCCCAGCCCCAGGACTGAAGAAGTTTAGGGTAGGGGTTGGGTATGCCAGCCAGACCCTCTAACAGGTAGAAACTGAGGGATGCTGGGAGAACCTGGCAGCCAGGTCCACTTTGATATGTTATGTAGACAATTTCAGCCATTTGTATGGTGTCTGACATTTACCGGCAACTGAAATAATTCTTCACTTCTTTAAAAAGAAATTGCCAGCCAGACTATGGTGGCACACACTTTTAATACCACACTAGGGAGGCAGATGAAGGTGAATCTCTGAGTTCAAGGCCAGTCTGGTCTACAGAGCAAGTTCCAGGACAGCCAGGGACACACACAGAAACCCTGTCTTCAAAAACCAAAAAAAAAAAAAAAAAAAAAAAGACAAGGAAAAAGAAAAAGGAAGAAATTGTAAATGGTGGGTGTAAGAAAAATGAGGCAGAGAAGCACACAGAAGTCATAGAGTGTGTGTGTGTGTGTGTGTGTGTGTGTGTGTGTGTGTGCCCGCGCGCACGTGTGTGCATGTGTGAGCACACAAGCACAAGCACAGTGTTTGGTTTGACTGCAAGCAGAGTGTGTTGTTTTCAGTACCTAGGAATATTTTGTTTCTTCTGGTGAAGTGGAAGGGTCAGGCTGGGGCTAAGCTGTTCTTTATGGCTTGCCTAGTACTGCCTGACTCAATTCCTCTTGACCTCATGACCTGAGGCTATTATCCAACAATGGGGAGGAGTGAAGTGGGGGCTCAGTAGGTGAAGGTGCTTGGTGCAAGCCCAAGGACCTGAGTTTGATCCCCAGAACACACATGGTATAAGAACCAAGTCCTGCATTATTATCTCCTCTCTCTGTCTCCATCTCTCTCTGTCTCTCTGTCTCTCTGTCTCTTTCTCTCTCTGTCTCTGTCTCTCTCTGTGTCACACACACACACACACACACACACACACACACACACAAATTAAGTTAAAATTGCTCATTTTTCATCATTGGCACCTTGAGAGCACAGAATTTTATTTCCAGAACAATAACTATTTGTTAAGAAAATAACAAGCAGGGGGTGGGGTTATAAGTCACAAGCCTAGATACGTCTGAAAGCCCACGTGCAGTCCTTCCAAAGGATAAACTGGGGAAGGGTGTTCAGGGTGGTTTATACCAAAAAAAAAAAAAAAAAATTGAACAATAAAAGCAGTTTATTTCAGCTAAGCACGGAGTGGGTGGTCCACTCAGACTTCCAGAAATGAGGTATTGGGTGGCCCATGGAACTCAGTATTCTGTGCCCTGCAAGAAAATTAAAACGAGTAAAGATGCAGCCAAGAACAAACAGGACCCCACCCCCCACAATTTCACCCCATGCGTTCCCACCTTTTTCCGACAATCGCCACACAATACACCAATGATCGCATTCACCAGCTGTATTCCACACAGCACTATTTCCAGACTTGAGGCAACCACCAGCAGAGAGAAGAGCGTCACGTTCCAGGGTACCACATGAGGTGGCTCCTCACATAAATCCCATAGAGTTTTATTGCGCAAGTAAGAGCCTCTGTGGATGGACAGGGTCATTTGAAAGAATCTGACCACACAGCAGGCCCCACCACCACCCAGTGCAAGGGTCTGCTAAGATCTGCCAAGGGCTCGATGGGCCACGTGGAAGGGGCTCTCTAGAAGCTCGGTCTGGTCCTTCATTCCTGGACCACGCAGGAAAGAAGGGCGGGTGGGGAGGGGCACAGAATGGGGGATACAAACACAGAACAGGACTTACTGGGTTTCTTGGAAGTGATAGTCCCACTGGCCGTTTATTAAGCATTTGGGTCCGATTCGGAGCCCGGTTCCTGACACTGAGAGGCAGTAGATGGCGCCAAGCACCCCAAAGGCAGAGGAGAAGACAGAGCGAAGCATCTAGACCCGGTGTGGAAAGGTTGAGTGAGTAAGCCTGCCTCCTCCCTTGGAGGGCCACCCGTGCCTATTCCTCCCTGTTATTGCAGCTCTTCTGTCCAGCCTGCCTAAAACATGCATTTCTCTTTAAACTCCGGGTCTGAAGTTAGGCGAATCCTAAAAGTCATCTACCACAGAGGTTCATGGGGCTTCTAGGCCCCTCTGGTCAGGTTCATTTGGGCCCAAGACTCTGAGTGAGGCAGCACCTGAGACCTGCTTGGCCGTGGGGAAGGAGTCAGGAATCAAACCTGACGTCGCCCCCGCCCCCAACCCTCAGACAGTGTTTCTCTGAGTTACAGCTCTGGTTGTCCTGAATTCATTTCTTAATTTGGTTCTTACCCTGCAGCGATTTCCACAGCAACCTGCACCACAGCAGCCCTTCCCCCCTGCCCGGACTGCTGCAATTCCCGGACACAGTACCTGTGGGATGAGAGTTGGTGATGACAGCAGGTTCTCTCAAGGCTGTGCTAGCATTGTCCATCTCCTCAGGAAAGCTGCCCACGATGCCCTCAGCCCTTTGTACCGTAAAACCTTATCTATAGTCTCTGGGTCATTGTTGGACTCTACCTTAATTTGTCATTATATGCCTGCCTTATCTCGCTCCAGATTGTAGTTTCCTGGAGGGTTGGGTCCAAAATACTATGCCTGTCTTAGACAAAAGGCCATCAAATGTTCAGGCGAGGGGGTAGCAATATGATTTATTCCACACACATAGTTTTGAATGGTAGGTCCCTACTGAATGGGAGTCAGGATCTTCATTCCACTCTGTGAACTGATTGCTTTGTAAAATGGATCTGCAAGACCAATCTCAAAAAGACTATTCTCAGCATTTAATGAGACAACAGGATGATTTTGTGTCATGACTGGCTGGGATAGAAGACCCTATGCTGATAAATACCTTCAACAGGTACAGTGAGCAGCAATTACGGAGGAGTGTGTTAAGATTTGCGCAGAGATTCTGGTGTAGATTTCTGGATTTCCTAAGAGCCGACTTCTGATTTTTTATTTTTTCCTAGTATCCTTTATTATGAAGTGCATACCCTCCTTGGTAACCAATCAGCTGTTCCTCTGTGCTAACAGTCACTTCTGAGTACCCAGAGAGCCGTATCAAACTGCCTGAAGGACATGCTTGTTTGAATGCCTTTGTTAACTTAGCTTTAGCAAGCCTCATACTGACCTCACGATATCCCCCAATTCATCTGCCTTTTGTCTTTCTTGCCTGCATCAGTGGGAAAATATCCACCAATACACCTGGGCTGCAAGATTTTAACCCTCCTGTACCAGGGCTAACTTCAGTCTTCTGTACTTTTCCTCAGTGGTCTCTAAATCGTTCAGTCCCTTTTTCTTCTTTCACACACTCAGCCCCTACTCCCCTTCCACGAGAATCTCTAATAGATTCTCATCACTCTTATCCCATGCCATCCCAGACTCCGTCCCACACGCTAACACTTGATTAACTTAATATTCAATTACTCTTTTATCTGATCAAGTCCCTTGAGGTATCTTCAAAGATACCCTAGGTGTGTGTGTGTGTGTGCGCGTGCGTGCGTGCGTGCGTGCGTGCGTGCGTGCGTGCGTGCGTGCGTGTGTGTGTGTGTGTGCTGTCCATCCTAGCTGGTGCTACATAGCAAGTTCCAGGCCACCATGGGCTACAAAATAAGTCTCACAAAGACAATCATAGCAAGTCTTTTGAGACTTCCTTACCCTTCCTCCAACTTCATGTAACACAACAGCCTTTGCCCTTGTTTGTACCTTAGTCCCACCAAGTCACATTCTTTGCTTACCTTGCATCCATGGGATTCTACAGCTTTTTGTTTGTTTGTTTGTTCTTTTGTCTAATACTAAGGTTTGAACCCAGGCCTTGTGCATTTTAGGCAACTCTACTGTCTTGGAGCCCATCTCCAGCCCATTTTTCTTTTAAATTTTGATTATTAATTTATTTTGAGGCAGGGTCCATTGTAGCCTAGGCTGCCATTTAACTTATGACACTCTTCCTCCAAAGTGCTAGAATTACAGATCTTAGCCACCACATATGGCTCTATTTTTTTAAAAAAGATTTATGGTGGTTGGAGAGATGGCTCATTGGTTAAGACCACTGACTGTTCTTCCAGAGGACCTGGGTTCAATTCCCAGCACCCACATGGTGGCTCACAACCACCTGTCATTCCAATTTCAGAGGATCAGATGTGCTTTTGATCCATGTGGGCACCAGGCATGCGTATGATGCATAGACATACACACAGGGAAATATCCGTAACAATTTTAAAAAATATTTATTTATTCATTTTTATTTTATTGTGTATATGTGAGTGCCTGCATGTATGTATTTGTATCACAGGTGTGTCTAGTGTCCCTGGAGGCCAGAAAAGTGTGTCCTTGCCAGGAACTGGCAGTATTGCTGCTCTCTCTCTCTCTCTCTCTCTCTCTCTCTCTCTCTCTCTCTCTCTTCCTCCCTTCCTTCCTTCCTTCCTGAGACAGGGTCTCTCTATGTAGTCCTGGCTATCCTGGAACTCAATATGTAGACCAGGCTGGCCTCAAAAGTCACAGAGATCCGCCTGCCTCTGTCTCCCAAGTGTTGGGATTAAAGGTGTGTGCCATCACACCCAGCAGCAAGTGCTCTTAACCACTGAGCCATTTCTCCAGCACCCTTCCCTTTTTAAAGGAAGGGTCTCTCTAAGTTGCCTCTTACATAGGCTGGCTTAAGCTCTCACTTCTCCTGCTTTAGTCTGCAGACAGCTGAGAGCCTGGTGCAGTCTAGTTGCATGCTCATAATTCCAGGGTTTTGGAGGAAGAAGATCCAGGGCTGTAGGCTCATCCTCAGCTACACAGTGAGCTCAAGACACACTGGGTTTCATGTGGCCTTCTCTTAATAACCAAAAAGAAAAGAGCCCAGTGATGCCTGTCTGCAGTCCCAGCATTTAGTAGGCAAAGGGGCTCAGGGGTACAGGTCCATCCTCGGGTACACAGTCAGCTCAAGGTGAACCTGATCTGAAGCCTTACTTCAAAAAAAAAAAAAATCCAACTATTTGTTTCCCTTTCTTGAGCTCCTAGGCTCAAGCAATCTCCCTGATGTAGAGATTGAGTACTGGGGACCACAGGCCAGGAAACAGTGGGGGTCTGGTCTGTGTGCTCCGTACACAGGTATGCTTACTTTGTGAAAAACCCATTGAACTACGAGTGTAGTTCAGTGGTAGAGTTTGTACTTAGCATGAAAAAAACCCTTGGGTTCCAACCTGGTAGTCCTCATTCTAGAGTTTTGTTTTCTTTGATTTTTGAGACAAGGTTTCTCTGTGTAACCCTGGCTGTCCTGGGATTCACTTTGTAGACCAGGCTGGCCTTGAACTCAGAGATCTAACTGCCTCTGCCTCCTGAGTACTGGGACTAAAGGTGTGCGCCACCACCATCTGGTTCCCAGAGTTTTTAAAATGGAAAAAAGAAAAGTGGAAAATTTTGATTAGTGGTCTATGTTTATCTCATCAAACTTCAGCTCTGCTGGCTGCCTGGCTGATCCTGAAATGTGGGGCCCCTGTTTGTTTGTTTGTTCGTTTGTTATGATTTTTCGAGACAGGGCTTTTCTGTGGACTTGGAGGCTGTCCTGGAGCTAGCTCTTCTAGACCAGGCTGGCCTTGAACTCACAGAGATCTGCCTGCCTCTGCCTCCCGGAGGACTGGGATTAAAGGCGAGTACCACCACCGCCCAGCGGGGGAGGGGGAGGCCTTGTTTGTAATGTTCCTCTTTTTTTTTTTTAATGTCATCTGTCTGTCAGTTCTGACATCATCACATTAAAAACTTCCTTGGGAACATTACAAAATATGTCCCCGGGTTGGAAGTGTGGTTCAGTTGCAGAGCAAGTCCTTGGCAGGCAGCAAGCCCCAGGGTTAGTCTGAAATATCAAATAGAAGAAAAGAAGAGAAAAAGAAGAAAAAACAAGTGCCTCGCTTGCCCTAAGAGGTGTTTGTGATGATCCCTGATTAGAGAGAGAAAGTGTGTGTGTGTGTGTGTGTGTGCCTCTCTACTTTTGTACCTCAGCTTCTAGAGTGCTGTCCTCACAGGAATAGCCACCATGCCCACATCATCTTGCCATTTATCTGCTTCGTTCATCCAACAAATATGAACTGAACACCTCATAAGGGAAGTGGTCCTTGCTCTCACAGGGCTTCCATTCTTGCTTCCTTGGCACCTTTTTTTTAAATATTTATATTTTTTATTTAATTGGCATTGGTATTTTGTCTGTCTGTATGTCTATATGAAGGTGTCAGATCTTGGAGTTACAGACAGTTTTTAGCTGCCATGTGGGTGCTGGGAACTGAACTAGAGACCTTTGGAAGAACACTCAGTGCTCTTAACTGCTGAGCCATCTCTCCAGCCCCCTCCTTGGGCACCTTTTGCCTTATCTACAGAGCACAGCCATTAAAAAGAGCACGGTGCCGTGCAGTATCCCCTATCCCCGAAAGGCTGCTGTGTATGAGGATGTTGGGAGCCCAACCTTAACAGATCCAATGATGCAGGCAAGTTTGATTGGGTAGGCGAATCAGCTGGTTTAGACTGGAGGCATACTTGATGTGACTGCTGGGTGATTGTGAGAGCCTAGAAGTAAGAGAGCTGAGAGAGCATCAGAGTAGAGGCCAACCACCAGAATCCAAGCAGTGGGTAGAGTCAGAGTGACGCCAGAGGGCAAGGGGAGGGAGCTGTTATCTCGGGTATCTCCATTAGCAGCTAATAAAGATGTGACCAGCAGAGGGGACCAAAGTGCAACTTCTCCCAGAGAACTTTAAAAGCCAGCTGTGCTAAAGATGGGAAACTGTGCTAGACAGATCTCTTGTCTTTATCCCATGAAGATGGTAGGTTAACCATCCAAAAGTTCTCCAGAATGGTCAGGCATGGCAGCACACACCTGTAATTGAGTGGTTGAGGCAGGAAGATTTCAAGTTCTACATTGGCCTGGGTTATATAGTGAGTTCCAGGCTAGCTTGAAGTAAATCAGGATATTGCTTCTAAATACATACATAAACAAACAAAAAGTAAAAAATTGAGAAAGAAAATTCTATAAATGGGAGGGAGTTTGAAGATGGGGGCAGCAAATCTAGGATATTTGTGTCTCTCCTTCCCTTGATATTTACTTTTGTTTGTTTGGTTGTTTTTTTTTTTTTCAAGACAGTTTTTTTTTTTTTTTTTTTTTTTTTTTTTTTTTTTGTGTGTGTGTGTATAGCTCTGGCTGTCCTGAAACTTGCTCACTAGTGCAGGCTGGCTTCAAACTCAGAGATCCACTTGCTTCTGCCTCTGGAGCACTGGGATGGAAGGCATGAACCACCGTGCCTGGTTCTTCTCTCACTTTTAATAGATCTTAGTCTGCAGGAAGACTGGGGCATCTACTCTAAAAGACTGACCTAGGTCCAGGGTTATTACCCCTAACAGAGACTGGGGATCCTGGAAGGTGGGCTGAGAAGGAACGGCTGTGGAAGAGAGGGAAAGCCAACACGATGCTGGCTGGTGGAGTAACTGATCTGAGCTATCTACCTGGGCTGAGATTGTTCAGGACAACCTCACCAGTTATGACACTGTCCTGATAACGTCCCACACAACCAGCTGCTCCTTCGGCTTCTACCCTCGTAATGAGGTTTTCTCAGTATGTGTTCACTGAGAGGCACGTAGAACTTGCTCCCACCTAATAGAGACGACACTCCTCTTCTTCCACCCATTACCCTCAGACACTCAGCTCAGGACCCCTAGAGCTCTCCAGACCTTCTACAGAATGGTTAGGGTGTGTGAGCAGATGGATGGGCTCCTAGTCCCCACAAAGCCCTTGCCACACCCTCCAGAGCAAATTGGTCCTCTCTCCTCTTTTCCTCTCTGTCCTGTCCACCGTCCCTTTGCAATGTACCCAGGTCCCCGGCCAACACTCCAGCATTCTCACCATCAGGCCTCCTCCAATGAAGCCACCCATAAGCCAGACTTGCAAGCTGAGGTTGTCGTTGGTCCAGGTGGTCTTCCCATCAGGTACCAGCAGGAGGGCATTGGCCACAATGCAGATCAGGGAGAGCGGGATGAGAGAGAGCCCCAGGCAACGCGCACACTTTCCTGTACACATGTCAGCAGCTTCAGGAAAGGCAGGTGGTGAATGAAAGTGAGCGGGAAGTGCCAGGGTCCAGAGCTGGCACTTGGAGCAAAGGTCTGAAAAGAGGCGTGGCAGAAACTGGAAGAAAAGCAATGATAAGAGGAGAGAGGCCCAGAGGAGGTACAGGGGCTGCAGCTGGGTGAGTTAAAGAGGAGGATGTGATGTCAGGAGATATGGGAGCTTGTCACACAAAGGAAGTTGACCGGGGTCAGCATCTTCTTCCTTGATCTGTACACACCTTCCCACAGCCCTTCCTCATCTACCTGGAGATTCAGCTGAACCCTTCACCCCTGGAAGTCTCAGTTGTTTCATTTGTTAAAAAAAAAAAAAAAAAAAAAAAAAAAAAGGTTTTGAGCTGGCGGAGGGATTCCATGGGACAAGGTAGAAGGATCTATCGCCAAGGAAGCATAGGACAGATATATGATGGACTCATTATTTCTGCCCCACAGGGAGACATTTTTCTGTAAAGAAACTAAAAAGACTGCAGTGGAGCCAGGCAGCGGCTTTCAACTGTAACTCAGCTAGGCAGAAAGATTGTGAGTTGGTTACATTGCAAGGCATTGTTTGAAAACACACAAAAGGATGATAATGACTTCTGGTCTATTTATTTCTTCTCAAAAACTTTGCTTTGTTTTGTCTTTTCAAGACAGGGTTTCACTGTGTAGCCCTGGCGGTCCTGGAACTCATTTTGTAGACCAGGCTGGCCTCGAACTCACAGATCTGCCTGCCTCTGCCTCCCGAGTGCTGGGATTAAAGGTGTGCACCATGATGCCCAGATCCCATTTTCATTTGGTTTTGTTCACGCTCTGAGAACAAAGAAGTTCTGGTTTTGTCGAGGTGCTGAAGGAGCTGATGACCTGTCATCACGGGAGAGGGCCAGCCTGTTGGAAAGTGAAATCTAGGCGAGTGAACAATGGAGATAGAAATTGTGACGATGCTGTTTAAACCTGGACGTACAGCCATCCCTCAGAATGTTTCAGTTATGTGAGCTGGTTCGAGTTGTGTTTCTGTCAACTCTAATATAAGAAATCTATTTTATTTTTGGCTTTTTGAGACAAGGTTGCAGTACGGGGCCAAACGGGCCTCAAACTCACTATCCTCCTGGCTCAGCATCATGAGGGCTGGGATTATAGGCATTTATCATCATCTCCAGTGAATAAATGATTTTTTTAAGATTTATTTTTATTTTATGTGAGTGTGTATCTGCACAACATGTTCATGCAGTGCCAGAAGAAGCCAGAAGAAAGTATCAGATCCCCTGGAACTGGAGTTACACAAGGCTGTTAGCATCCATGTTAGTGCTGTGAATTGAACCTGGATCCATCCAGTACTCTTAATTATGGAATCATCTCTCCAGCCCTTGCAATCATTTTGGCTATGTTGAATTCCTTAAGCCCATTCTTCCTTAGGACCTCGTGGTGGAGAGTGTATGGACTCACAGTTTCAGGACTAAGCCCCGGATTGTGACCTTGAAGAACTGACTCATGCTTGGTAGCATCTGGTGGTGTCATAGAGAGATGAGGGTCACAAGAAATACTCTGGAACTTCACAAGGGCACCTGATAACAGTGACATAGGGAAGGAGGTGTGTAGTCAGGGGTCTCTGTTGAGTCTCCTGCCCAAACCACCATAGACATGTGGGAAATGGAGAAAATTAGGTGTCACTCAAAAATAAATGGCAGAATCTTGGAGGAATCCCTGTTACCTGTGAGATGGAGGAGCTGGATGGAGAACAGCAATGAAGAATCTACCTCTTAAACGAGGGATGCCTGAAAAAAGAAAGTACTTTGAACTTTCCCCATCTGTTCCAAGTGTTTGCCTCTGACTCATAAACAATTACATGGTCATTGATATTTGGCATTGCTTCTGATAGCTTGTTTAGTGCTTTTATAATATCTCCAGTGCTGAGGCCAAAAGTATCAATGCTTGCTAATTTCAAGCACCCAGGAGACAGAGACCAGAATCCTCCAAGTTTGAGGCCAATCTGAACTACATAGTGAGCTCCTGGCCAGCCTGCGTTACATTGTGAGCTCCCACCCAATCAGGGTTATGTAGTGAGATCTTGTCTCAACAACGTAAACACAAAACAAAACAAAATTTACAAAGTGAAGGAGATGGGGAGGACAGTGAGAAAGTTGATCAGTTTGAACAAGATATGACGACACGAATGTGTGAAAATACCACAATTAAAACTATTACTTTCCAGGCAGTGGTGGCTCACACCTTTAACCCCAGCACTCAGGAGACAGAGGCAGGTGGATCTCTGAGTTTGAGGCCAGCCTAGTCTACAAAGTGAGTTCTAGGAGAGCTAAGGATACACAGTGAAACCCTGTCTTGAAAAACAAACAAACAAACAAACAAAACCATTACTTGTTATATCAACTTAAAAAAATTTAAATGTATTTCCATAGTGCTTCCTTTTCTTTAAAGTTTTACATTCTCTGGTTTTTCTGGAGGTATATTTTAAGGTTGAAACAGTGGTCATTTTTAAATGCTGTACATCATTCTTTAGCATGTCACTTGCCTGTCCCCTCTGCAGCCCCCTCTGAGGGGTTGTATACAGATGGCTTACCATGCCTCAAACAACTAGACCTCATGAGCTTCAGTAAAAAGGGAACTATTTGCTGTAATTCCTCAGCCCTCCCTGTGTGGATGTCCTTTGAAATGCCAGCTTGTAACCCTTCCTGCTAGAAGTAGAATACACCTTTACTGCATGGGCAAACTGGAATGCGGGCAGAAACAACAAGACAAGATCTCAGTACCAATACACATAAACAAAAACAAATTAAAAAACAAATGAAGTGCTCTATGGTGCCATGTGTCTCTATCATTGTCACCAGAGGAACAAGCTGGGCTACCCACTGGTTTAGAAAAAACAAAAACAAAGGTGTAAAATATAAGGAAAAAATTCCTGGTTGGATGCCAATCTATGTCATCTGCCTTCTGGCCAACCCTTACATGTATGAGTGAAATAAATGCTTATATTTATATGTCATGAACACTATGGGTTTTCTTTTTTAGATTTATTTATTTATTTATCATGTATACAGTGCGTGCCAGAAGAGGGCACCAGACCACATTACAGATGGTTGTGAGCCACCATGTGGTTGCTGGGAATTGAACTCAGAACTCTGGAAGAGCAGCAGTCAGTGCTCTTAACCCCTGAGCCATCTTTCCAGCCCCATATGGGTTTTCATTTTATTAAAAAATTCTTTTGTGTGTGTGTGTGTATTTTTTGTTTGTTTTTCGAGACAGGGTTTCTCTGTAGCTTTGGAGGCTTGGAGGCTGTTCTGGAACTCACTCTGTAGACCAAACTGGCCTTGAACTCACAGAGATCCACCTGCCTCTGCCTTCTGAGTGCTGGGATTAAAGGTGTACGCCACCAACGCCTGGCTATTAAAAACTTCGTGTGTGTGTGTGTGTGTGTGTGTGTGTGTGTGTGTGTACACAAGTGTGCCACGGAACACTTGTGGAGGTCGGATGACAACCTCTGGTGACAGCTTTATCTGACCTGCTGGCCTTGCTTGAGGCAGGGTCTCTTCTTTGTCACTACACACGCTGGCTTGTCCCACAGACTTTTGAAGATTCTCCTGTCTTCACTTCCCACTTGCTACAGGAGTCCTAGGGTCATAGGGGTACATGCCCTTTCTGACCTGTATGTGGGCTCTGGGATTTGAACTGGGGTCCTCACACTTGTGCAGCAAGCCCGCTACCCACTGAGCCATCTCTCCAGCTCAGGCTTTGTTGTTGTTTGTTTGGTTGGTTCTGTTTATTTTTTGAGACATAGCATCATGTGGGGAAAAGTGACCACTAATTTATTATGAGGTCGAGTATGAATTCTTTTTTCTTAAACAAATGAAATCCTTTACTTACACCACATTTCTCTTGTGAAGATTATTTTCTTTAAAGAACATTTGAGAAGTAAGTCTTGAACTAAGTATTTTTTATTTACTTCCTGCAAAATCTTTCCATCTTGCCAGTAACAAGCTGTGTTGCTGTAAAGATGGGTTTAATCATTAACAAGCCTAATTTTGTCTCTATCAACAACAAAACTACTTACTAGCTCTGATCAGAAGAACTGGAAGTTCATTGGGGAAATTCACTTACCAATTAGTCACTACATATTATCAGCTGACAAAATTAAGTCTGGTATAGGATATCTGTCATCTATGTAACTGCAGGTAGTCATAGCTTGTCACTTAAGTCTCCAAATTGATGAAACATAACAAAGAGCTAGAATACAGTCTTAGGATCTCATAATGACTTGTTTGAAAAATTAATCATTTTGGTGCCGAATTCAAACAATAGTGCTGTCAAGGCTAGCAGTAAGACAGTGTAGCCCCTAGTTTTTTGTTTGTTTGTTTGTTTGTGCTTTTTGAGACAGGGTTTCTCTGTGGCTTTGGAGGCTGTCCTGGAACTAGCTCTTGTAGATCAGTCTGATCTCTAACCCACAGAGATCCACCTGCCTGTGCCTCCCAAGTGCTGGGACTAAAGGCATGCACCACCACTGCCCAGCCTTTTTAATTGTTTTTAAGACAGGGTTTCACTATGTATACCAAGTTGGAATGGAACTCATAGAAATCTACCTGTCTCTCCCTCCCAAGTACAGATATTAAAGGCATGCACCACCAGGCTCAGCTCACATTATTAATTTTAGTGTGTGTGTACACATGCATGTGTGTGTGGGAATGTGTGTGAAGATCAGAAAACAACTTTGTATGTCATCTTCAGGAACAGTGGTCACCTCCTTTGAGACAAGGTCCTCTGATTGGCTTGGAGCTCATTAATTAGACTAGGCTAGACCAGATGAACAGTGTTGCTCATGGATCTATTTCTTCAATGCTGAGATTATAAGCACAAACCATCATACCCAGCATTTTAATGTGGGTATGTGGGTTCTGGGGACTGAATGCATGTCTTAATGCTTGCAAGGCCAGTATTCTGTGCACTGAGCCATCTCTCCAGC